TCTAAGAACTGAAGGTGAGGTTCCCGGCAGAGCTGGGTTGGAGTCAGGGCTCAGTGGCGAAGTTTGCATCTCACAGAACAAGCGGCTTCGTGATTAAGGGAGCAGCCAGCCAGGGGCCAGCCCGGGAGTGTGTGGTCTGAGCGCCTCGAGCCATTAGGGAGGGAGGAAGGAGGGAGAAAGCATCTGACTCTCTGGGCTCCCCTGGGTCTCGGTGTGCCGAGCAGGCTCGGGGCTGGGCGCAGGGTCCCCACAGTGGGGTCAGGACGGTGCAGACCCCGGCTCAGGCATCGTACCCGATCACCTCCCCCGGGCGGAGGGTGCCAGTTGTCATTCGTGCTCAGGGGGTTCGTCTCTCGTTTCGTGGTGTTTTCTCCTCTGAGTGTTGGGCAGAGAAGAGCAAATAGTGTCCAAGTCTCCAGATTGAGGCCTGAAGAGCGAAGCAGGCGGCCCCACCTCCTTGGTTCGGAGCAGGACCTTAGTTAGAGAGAGAGGAGGGAGAGGGAGAGACCGACGGCTGCCTCCTGCACACCCTGACGGGAGCGAGCCACACCTGGGCATGTGCCCTGACCAGGAATCGAACCAGCAGCCTTTGGGTGCCCAGGACTGTGCCAGCCGAGCCGCCCGGCCAGGGCAGAGCCGCCTTTTTGAATGTCCCCTGTTGGAATATTCGCTGCTTCCAGGGTCAGGAGCCGAGCTCGTCACGCGTGGTTCACGTCCTCCGGCCTCGTGCGCGGTCACGAGGACTCTACGCGGGGCAGTCGCTCCTGTTTTCTGCAGTGACTTTCTCTTCTGTCAGATTCTGTAACCAGAAGCGTGAGAACATTCGCTTCTTAGAGGGAATTACGGGCAGCTACTCAGCAGCGCGGGGCCCCCGAGGTGGGGGCAGGGCTGGCCCGCCTCCCCTGCCCCTGCTGCGGGCTGGTGCCCCCTGGGCAGCCGGGTCCCGGCCCCTCCTGCTGACGGGAGTGTGGTCAGAGCAGGCGTCCAGGAAGCGGGGTCCCTGAGTTTCAGTGCTGGGTCTGTAAGGGAACCGGCCCAGACCCCCACACCTCCCCCCACGTCCTCTGTGACCTCTGGGGTCTGGCCTCTCCTGCCCGTGTTTCGGGGGGTGGGTGCAGCTTCTCACGCTGTGCACCCCAGAGAAGTGGCCCTGTGAGGGCGACACGAGCCGGCTGGCTGCCCACCTACGTTCTGTGGCCAGTGGGGCCTTGGGAAGGCTCCCCAACCGCCTGCGCCGTGGTGTCTGTGCCTCTACGCCCAGAGCCCTGTCCTGTGGGACCACCTGTTACAGGTGAGAAGGGAGGGGTCCAGACAGAGCTCTGACAGGTCCCCTGACCGTGGTGCCGTCACTGACGGGGACCCGTGGACGCAGGGCTGCTGCTTCTGGTGTGGGAGACGGGCCCGGTGACATCACCCCTGCGCCCTGCTGCTGAGAGGAGGGGCAGGCCCAGGCCTGGGGGGGGCAGGGCTCTGGCCTCGGGCCTCCGGCCCGTGAGGAGGTAAGTCCAGGCCTGGCCGAGCTGCTGCTGACGCTCAGTCTCCGCGGCTGCGTGGAAGCCGTCCGGTGCCTGCGCTAGGGGCCAGCCATGCAGAGCACAGAATGACTGTGTTTGGGGAGGCAGCAAATAGCCATTCTCAGGGGGCCACCCCCCGGGCACCCAGCAGCCCCGCCCGCCTGATCCACCCAGACCAACTAATCCCCGAACATGGGGTCCCCCTGACGGCGTAATCGCTGGTCTGTGGCAGGTAAGGGGCCTAATCTCTTGCTGCTGCAGGTGTGACAGTCTCCTGTGGGCATCCACAGCTACGGAGCTGACCTTGCCCCAGCCCTGACCTCCGAGAGGCTGGCCTGTGGGTGCAGCAGGCAGGCGTCAAGCATCGGACCAGCGGTCATTAGGGAAGGTGGGCGTTATCGACGGGCCCGCCCAGCTGGGGTCGGGCTTAAGAACCGCCTGGCAGAGCCCCTGAGATGGCCCCTGGTGCAGAACCTGCCCCCGCCTGCTGCCCCCACCTGCCCCCGGGGTGGCATGCCCAAGGGCTGAGCGCAGTGTCGGTCCGTTTAGGCCACACCCAGGAGCCCTGGGCTTGTGGATGCTGACCCTCTGCGTCCAGACGGTACCAGGTGGGTTCAGCCGTCTCCAGGAAGCACAGCCGGGTCCCGTGACCCGAGGTTCAGGGAGAACCTGGCGCGCACGGCCTCGCCCTTGGGTCTTGCTCGCTCGCCGCGGCTGCTGGAGCTTAGGGAGAGCTTGGCGTTGCTCCAGGGAACTCGCTGTGGGACAGACCCTCGCGCAGGGGCTGGTCCGGGGACTCGGACGGGAATCGGGCTCCTCGGCTGTGATGAGTGGAGCTGAGTTTCCGCTCGGCGCCCGCAGCCAGGGGTGGACGGGGCCCAGGTAGCATCAGCGCTGGAGAGCAGTCCCCAGACGTCTCAAAAATGTCGAACAAGGAAAGAAAATGTTCCCTCAACCGAAATACACGGAGATACAGTCTCACTGCCCTGGGCGTTTGCACCACGGGCCTCGGGGAAACCGAGGGACTGCAGGAGAAACGTCTAAAACGCTCGCTCTGAGGACAGGGACGGGTGTGCCGCTCCGTCCCCGGCAGGGCGGGCGCAGCGCCGGGAGTCCCCTCCGTCGAGCTCCACTGGGAGCCTTGGCCCTGAATCCTGACGGCGGCAGCTTCACGGCGCACGACCAGGTCGTCGCTCGGCCACACAGGCCGCAGGAGGCACGCGTCTCGGTTACTTCATACGAGAGACAAAAGTTGGTGTTTCCAGACCAGCAGGAGCCCCTCTTTGGACACAGCGGCAGATACCCAGACTCGCACTGCCTGGGACCCGCGGAGGGACAGCCGCGCCCTGACGGCTGCACTCCTCCGATCCGCGGTGTGGAGCCCGCCCCCCACGCCGTCTTCTCGGCCGCCCCCAGACGCTGTGGGACCACTTGCACAGCAGCAGCCAGACCAGCGGGGGTGCCAGGCTGCCTCGGGAGCCGGACTCTGCGCGTCTGGTCACCTCGGTGGATTTACTAGTGACGGCGAAGGCGCTGACCACACCGTCACAGAGAGGACCGGACGCAGGACCCCGAGGGCGGTGAGCACGGGAGCGAGGGAAGGGCCACTCGGGGTGGCGAGCCCCAGGGCAGCCCTCTCAAGTCGGGGTGCACTTAAGGAAAACGTGGGGCCAAAGAAAGTTACCGGTGACTGAAGACAAAGAACCAGTTTGTCCAAACGCTGCAGAGCACAGAACGTGGCCTGTTGTCAGTGGGGCCCCTCCAGGAGGCCTTGGGGGTGATGCCCCGGAAGGCCGTGAGGTGTCCTGGGGGTGCTGACCCTGGAGGCGAGGTGTCCTGGGGGTGCTGACCCTGGAGGCGAGGTGTCCTGGGGGTGCTGACCCTGGCGGCGGGGCCTTGGTCCCCTCCTGAGCCGCCCAGACCCTGCCCTCCGTGCGGAAGAGCACAACCCTGCCCCACGGCCCGGGCATCGGCCCCTCTTCCTGGCCTCCTGGCCTCTCCTGGACCCTGGGGCTGGACCTCTGGAGGGTGATTCACGAGCTGACCCCGCCCAGCACCCTGCGGTCGGCCTGCATGTGGGTGTGACCCGACCCCGTCTGAGCCCTAGGCCAGGCGGGACTTCGCTGGGCTGTCTCGCGCCTGGCGGGCGGTGGGTGCTGAGCGAGTCAGTGGCCCGCCTGTGCGTCTCCGCAGGCACCCCCTCCTGTGTTCGCTTTCTCAGGTTGTGACACGGGGCCTCCCCCATAGACGAGGGTGAATTTGTTCGTGAAAGAGCTTCACGCCTGTTGATGTTCTCACTGGGGTATTAGCGGCCTGCGCCCCTGCGCCAAGCGGGCGCATCTGCCACCCGCCACCCGCCAGCACCT